CCTCTGGACTGCACCCCAGTTCTTGTATGCATAAATAAATAAACCTTAAAGAAAGAGACAGACTGCCCTGACGGCTACCCACCTGCTGGGCACCAGGCCTGTCAGTGCAGAGATGACCATCACTCCCCCAGCCTGCTCTCCAGCCGCACCCAGCAAAGCCCATGGGTCGGGGGAGTGCGAGGGGGGGGCTGGGGGGGGGGGCAAGACAGAGCTGCTGCCACCCTAGCCTGGGACAGTTGCGGGAGCACACTGCAGTCTGCACCAGACACCCCTCACCCCCGCACCCCCCCCCGCCACCGCAACCCCGCACACCCTAAAATGAACAGCCCGGTGGATACACTTTTTGTCCTCCCAGCTTCATTCTGATTCTGGAGGCGCCCCTTGGCCATGCTGCCCTAAGCACCCCCACACCCACACCCATGATGGCGCCATGTGGCAGAAAGATCCTGATGCCAGGCCTCACACCCCGGCCCCAGTGGGGACCTGCAACCTTTGCAAAACACAAGCCTGCTCTGGCCAGCGAGGGCAGCTCGCTGCTCTGCTGAGAAGCTCAGAGCAGTGCCCGCAGGGCGGCGTCTGAAGCGTCAGCCGCGCCCTGGCAAGGGAACTCCAGAGTTGCTCATCTCCGTTGTGTGCTGAATGTTCCATTTCCAAGGCATCGTGCCCGGGAGAAAGCAGCAGCCCTGCAGTCAGAGGCTGCTAGGCCGGGGCAGGGCTGGGGAGCATGAGTCCTGCAGCGGTGGTCTGCCCGGAGGCTGCTTTCTTGCTCTCTCGCCCTGGGCCTGAATTCCCAGAGGGGCGAAGCAGGGGTCCTTGACACGCCCTGAGCCCAGCGAAAGGCCTGGGGGGGGGGGGGGTGCACGTCTGGAGGGGAATTTGTCCTGCAGCCTGGCAAGCGGCCTGAACTTGAACTTTGGGCTTAGGGCTTTGCAGGCGTCCTGGCCCGACAGCCTGGGCAGGTGGCAATCTGTTTAGTCTAGGGGCAGCAATTACCGCGCGCACACACAAAAGACTGTGGAAGATACTAATTGTCCTCAAACTAGCCAAGTCCATTTTGACTATAGCGGGCTTAATTTAATCCCTTATTTCCAATTTGGGGCATCACCAAGATCTTCTTTGCACAAAACACCTGATTATAATAATTACAAGCTTGGGGAGCTGTCTCCGTCGGTGTCTAAAGGAAGGGACCAGCCAGTTACCTCCACGGTGATTCCCTCCTCTCACAGGGCCAGCCCTAGCCCCCCACCCCCCCACCCCCTCCTGAAGAGCAGGGAGGGGGGAGCGGTGCACACATCCTCCCCCAGCAGGAAAGCGGGCCTGGCGCTCGGAGCACGCTGCTCCCTCCCGGCGCACGCAGGCCTGCCTGCCTAACCAGCATTATTCACAGTGGCACCAGCTTGGGGGTGAGGGAGGGCTGGAGGTGCCCTTGCCTGCCAGGGGCTCTGCACCACCCCCCACCCCACCCCAGCCCCCTGCCCCAGCGTGTAGTAGTTGCATACACAGGACCTGGAGCGATGAGAGTGCAGGCCTGCTTCTTCCCTACCTCAGGCCCAGCCCCTGGCTGGGTCACTCAGTGGGTGTTGTTGGGAGCACAGGTTATTACAGTAGAAGTCATGTTGGTCATGACAGTCTTTATCTCCTGCCAGCCTGAGGGCGAGGAGCAGAGCCGTAGCTGTGGGAGCTGCCTAAGGGCACTGTGGCCTGGGGGAAGGGGCATGGGGCAGGCCGATGGGCAGATGGGCTAGAGCTGCCACCGGGGCCCCGCCTGGGCTGTCTAGAGTTGGGAGACGGGAGGGCACTGGGCCACCTCCTACAGCTGTGTCTCCGTCCTGAGAGAACGTTGGGGTGCACAGTTGAATGCCAGCCTCAGGAGTCAGGCCTTTGGCCTTCAGGAGAGGAAGCCAGGTCGTCAAGGTTGAGTGCATGAGGGCACATCAGTGGCCAGGCCCCTCGGCAGCCCAGAGGCGCCCAGCGGGGTGAGCACCTGGCCTGGGCAGCCGGACACGTGCAGCCCCCCCACCTCTGGCCACCCTTCCAGCAGCCCTGGCAGCAGGCACTGGCGGCTTCCTGGGCTGATTTGGCTTCCTGGGCTCTGGGAACAGGCCAGTGCTTCACTCCCTTGCGCAGCCTGAGCTGGCAGCCCCTGGCCAGTCTGTGATGTGGCTCTGAGCAGCTCCAGCTTCAGGAATTAATTCCAGTAACCAGATTGCTTGATAAGCTCCAAGGTCATCTGGAGATGGTAGCCGTCCCTGCATTAGGAATATAAGTCCAAGGATGCGCTGGAAATTTCCAAGCCCGTAAGCCTCCAAGCAGCTCCCAGGCACCCACCGCCGAGGGTGATGGGACGGATTAAGCCCATGCCTTGCTCTCTGCTCGTGTTTGGGGGGCTGTAGACCGGCCCCCGGTCATATACCCAGAAGCCCCCATCTTGGTTGCAGCCGGATTCAGCAGCTTGCCACTTGCTAAACAAAAGGACAACTGTCCTTGGCTGGCTGGCTGCAGGGTGGGGACACTCAACAGCTGCTGAGAGTGGCCTCCAGGGATCGCCGTCCAGGGCCCTGTCCTCCTGGCTTTCTATACCTCATTGGTCCGATCTGCGGCTCCAAGGACCCCCAGCCCATGGGCACTGCGGCCATTCCAGACCTCAAGGTCACTGCCAGCCCGTGGGCCAGAGACCCTCCCAGGCTTTGGATCAACACACAGGATACTCCCAACCTGGTCCCTGTTGGGAAAAGTTGTGTCCTGGAGAGGCGCCGTCTCCTGGTCATGTCCGAGTTGGTGGGAGGGGCAGAGCAGCCGAGTCAGCAGCCAGTAGTTGAGGAGCGCTGAAGACCCTGGTCGGAGAAGGCCCAGAGGAACTGGGTTAGTTCTTACCGGGCTCTGGGCTTGTCCTTGTGCTTAAGGAGACAGAGGCAGGGCCCTGCCTGGTGGCACAGCGGATTAAAGCGCAGCTCTATGAAGCGATACGCAGCTGCCGCAGCACGAGTTCTATCCCCAGCAGGAAGCTGACCCACCTGGTGTGACAGACCTCTCCTGTCTCCCTGCTGCTCCCCTCAGA